GTTATCTTCTGCCGAAGCTCAAACCTTGATCCAGGATTGGGAATATTGTAAGCACTGTCTATGGCGTTTGCCCGATGACCCGAAAGGTTAAGCGGTCATCGAAACTGGGTTACTGATTGAAGCTGTATAAAACATATTTGTCGTTACAGTCTATCAGAAAAAAGGCATAAATGCTCTAAACTTGGTTGGAAAGCAGTTCACGAGTATAGATATGCTATATGCCGCCTGAACAACACTCGTCATTTCTGTTGTGTTGTATGTTATCAGTGGATACACTCACATGAAAGGGGAGTTTAGATGGGGCAGCTATTTTTTACTCCCTGCTTTCTGTGCTGATAATGACATGTTGTGGTTCTGAAATTCAAGCGATAATTCATACTAATGGCACACACCGTAACCGCAGCTGAAACGATTGCAATAAAGTTTGCACACGAGTGGATAGCAGCCGCATAAGGTAGCTTATCTCATCCAGATTTCTTTTATATAGGGATACATGCGTTTCAGAAATAAATTTTCAGTTATTTCCAAGCTAGTGACCCAGTGTATCACGTTCTTTTCTTCCTCTCGTTACTGTTGACCGCACATAAGTCACTATAGCAAGTGAAACATTTCTCGCAGGCCTTGTGAACTGCCACTAAAGCCATCTAGTCAGGTATAACATTGTATTGAACATCTAATTAATTGTCCATCGTTGACCACAGCTGCCTTGATGGTTATAGCACTTCATTTCCTCTGTTTACGATGACGCACTGAATGACGACATTATTCGAACGGCACCGATGTGAAACACGAATGGAATGATTTATTACTCATTGTTGCTAGGATGCTGAGTGTTTAGTCAGGAATTTCACGTAGTACCTTTTGAAGTGCGCGCTTGTAAGTGATCCATAATTAACTGGTACTCACTCTTATGTTCAGGACATTAATAAAGCGGAATGTTGGTCGGCCGTGGGTAATTGGAATGGAAAAACACATAGTGCAGAAAATGTCCACATGGTACGAGGGCAGCGCCAGAAACAACCTGAGTTATTTGGCACATTCTAAAGATTACGGGGTATAATTGTATGTCTCCCGGGAGTTCGGCTAACTCGCCGAGTATATTCCATCTGCTGGAAGGAAAAATGCATGTATAAGATGATGGAGGAGATGCGTGCGCTTCAGCAACATCCACAAACGGTGGAGAGTGCCCATATGAGAAATACAAGCAATCAGCAGACGCAGAAATCTTAGTGTAAATCATTGAAAACCAGAAGGAGCAAATGGAACTAAGGAAATTGAGCGGGAACGAACGAATTCGGCATTTTCTTGATACATAGTTAAGATATGGTTTAAAGTAGCAGCAGATGCGTTTTGTCACCGATGCAGATGACAGTGTTATGTAGAAGAAAGAAGTGCCATAAAGCAAAACAGGCTAGGAGAAAAGAAAAATCGCTGATCAAGCCCTCCAAAAGTACAAGTGAAAGGAGGTGAAACGCCATGAGCGAAGGCGGAGCGGCAGTGCGGGGCATTCGTTGTATGCTGTCACTCGTCACGACGCACCCCTCATTATGCAACTGACATTAACCTTCACAAGCTTCAAAAAGCATGGGGAGGAACAACGAGAACGAGTCTAATTTAAAGTATTGATGATAAACCGTTTTCAATTTCATTTGTCGTCGTTTCTAATGTTTTCGCACCTTGACTCACTCCTTCACGGATCCATAACAGGCGGCAAACTGTGGATTTTGATTGTGTTTGCCAAAACAACGAACAAGGCGATGACGACCGTGCGAACAAACAACGGTAGTGGGGATGTTCTCTATGTGCGACACTGCCTGAACGATGGTCGAACAGATCCAAGACAAACGGTTGCCAACGTCACCCGACCAGTCGAATGTCACAGTCAAAGTTGTCGCTGCAATATCCGTTGTTTATTCCTTCGGATATGCGGATTATGACGCAGCCGAAGTCACTGATTGACGTCGATGTCACAACGAACTACGATCACGATGCATCGCCCCCACTCGAAAAGTCTTACGTCAGTCACTGGCGCCAACGCGGATTAAGAAATGTACGTCCACCGTTAAGGTAAACAGCGTCCTCAAAAACAACGAAGCGCGGCATTGACAGGTCGATAGCTTCCGTCCACCTTGCAGTGGCCCCGGGTGACGACGGTTTTGTAATGGTGCCGCTTCGAGCTACTGTGTACTTTGCTCTACGCCGTGACTGCCAGAAAAGTCGATGAGGCAAAACACTAGTTACGGTAATATCAGCCACATTAGATGAAGTATAACTTAAGTGGCATGAACATTAGTTCAGGTCGAATGCTCTTCTGAGGTGTAGTACTTGCAGAACCCTGTACGTTCTTAGCAGCATCGCCTTCTGCAGTTAATTATTGTTCTGTACTATAATCAATTGACTTTAGCGGGCGCTGGTGGATTCTTTTCACTGCTCCGAGGGAATCAATCACCAGAGAAGTGACTCCGATCCGCGTTCGCCAGATCTTTCGTACTACCATCTTCAATTTTTGATATTTCAGTATCTTTTCTCTTTCCTTCTTTGATATTTCAGTTCCCATCAGCCGGGTATGCCATATCAATGAGCTGTGTTTACGTTTCCGCTTGTTTACCGGCACGATATCTAGACAAATAGCTTATGTCGTTTATCTGTTCGTATTCGACAGTCTCACAGTACTTTCCTTGCTCGATATCTCCCAAGGATTTCGATTTTTTCTATGGTGACTCTGCCGCTGGACCACTCGCTTGCACAAACGTCTGTGAACTGTCATTGCAACGTTGTTGTGCCTTTCTTTGCATTCTCGATTCGCAGACGGAATTTCTTTCACGTGTTGTACGGGCACTCTTAGCATTTTCCTAATAGTGTTAAGCACTGCCAGCTGTTTGTTGTCCTAACTTCGATAGACCGTTAGTCTTCACAACCGTCTTCCATCGGCCATTTCGTTCATTGTCATCTTCAGCTATAGTCGCAACGATGATCTTTGATACGAGGAAATCCTCTTCCTTCTACTTTGCACAAGGAATGTATACAATTTAATGTTGTCTGTATGTGTTTCAGAGGCACCATCCCGTATATGTTTAAGATCTCTCTACCAGTTACGGCCTTTTCGCTTGCGACAATTGATACCTCCTGTGTAAGAAAGAACTGGAACAGCATATTGATTGATTTACAGTCACGATTTGTTCTTTCCTCCCAAATTACTGTTCAGGATTCAGCGGAGCTAACGTATTCCATCTAGATTAATTCTTTCATTTTCACGTGTAATATTTTTAAAGTTCAACGGCGTGTTGGCATAGTTTCTAAGAGGTCTGGTTCGAACTACGGAGGTATCGGATTCGATTACACTCGAAGGCAATCTCTGCCTTATTCACGAATTCCCTTGAGCAAGGAATCTTCCCACATTGCTTCATACCGGGGTTGCTAAATCGGTAGAGCATCGAACTCAGAACCGATGTATCCTCCAGTTGGAGTCACTTGCCCTTCTTCCTTCCAAAGTTAATAAGTTCAGAGTACGTAGTTGCTCTGTGGAACGGACTACACGCTACACTTGCCAAATGGACGCAGAATTTGCCTTTGAAATGATGCACTCCTCGCTAAGGGTATAGAAACGGAGATCGGCACCGCACCGTCAACTTCATGAAAATGATGGAAGGAAGACTAATAACGGTGACAAACTTTCCCTCTTCTTCTCAAGTTCTAGCAATTCGATGGACAGAAACACTGGTTAAATAATACATAAAATGGTTATTAAATGAATATAATATATTATGGTAATGCAGAAGTTAATAGCAGCAATAATAACAGCAACATAATATGTTTGAAGAAACAAAGAAAGAAAAAGAAGCAAAGTTTGAATACAACGTCGGACGAAA